AGAGAGAGAGAGAGAGAGAGAGAGAGAGAGAGAGAGAGAGGTTTTATCTGAAGAGGTCTATGAGAAAGTTCAACAACCCAAATCAGTCGTTTGGAACTTCTTAATTTACACGCTAATTGCGATTTCATACTTGCCAGAAAAGGAGAAGAACAGATAGAGGTCTTTCCCCGCAATTAATGGAGAAATGCACGAGTAAGAAAGAAGTCTAAAGAAGATTCTACCTCAGGTATCGGCGTCAGAGATACTTGCGCGTACACCTCATCGCTAACCTGGTCCGCCTGAAACCACAAATCCACTCTCACCACCAAGAAAATGAAGAAGAAGAAGCAGACCGGGAATAAAATGAAGAAGAAAGAAAGCCCAGCGAACAGCGAACTCACATGCAAATTCACATTAATCACACGGCAAAAGACCTGAGGCGGCAACCCCCACCCATCGCAGCTCGCCCCTGCCTGCTCCAAATGGCCCTGCGCAAAATACACCACCACGCTCCCCTTCCTCGGCAACGATATCAGAGACCCCGCGCACGCCTGCCACACCTCCAGGCACACCGTCCCCGCGGCGCCCTCCTCGGCGCGCGGCGCGTGGCCCTCCGCAGTCACCCGCCGGTTCAGATCAATGCCCATCGCTCGCCCCCACGCCCAAGCGCCACCATCAAAACCCCCCAACCAGACGCACAGTCCGCGGCCTCGAGAGCGAGGAGGCGACCATAAAAAGCGGGCGGTCAAAAAGCGACCGCCAACCCATGTACAGTTACTGTTACAGGATGGGTCTCTCTCTCACATTATACGGCCCCCTTTGCCATCGCACGCCCCTCTGAAACTCTGATTCTCTACTGCCTCCTCTGCTTCCCTCTGATGCTTAAGCCTGCTAACACTGAGACTGACGCCTGTTATTATTGTTGGCGTTATTATTGTTACTGTTATTATTTAGTAAGTGGTATTTATCGTTATGGAGGGGACCGGGTTATTTATGGACCGCTGGTCAATAATTAGAGACCTCTCACATAACTGAGGCGGCAACGATACCCATGTACATAACGATTAGTGCGCTTGAAAATTGGACAAAAGGGGTTGATGCCTTTTAAAGCCCATTGCATCTGCGTGTCTTTCCCTTTCTCTCTCTAACTCTTCTTCTGGCCCCTTATATCAGTTAATTGAATTTTTCTTTTGGATGTTGCAATTTGAAGCAAATAGGGCTGGCAATGGATCCAACATGACCGGCGATAAGACGGTTAGACCCGACCTCGCGTCCCAGTACATGTCTAAATTGTGGACTTGAATATATGATGGAAATCATGTGTCTTTACGCATTAGGTGCTCATATTGTCATAATATTGGCAATATTTACAGTAAGACACGATTTTTATATGCCTAACTTACATATTATAGAAACACAGGCTTGGCAATAAATATATGTTTAAAATTTGCTTTGATCTTAATTATCAGAGAATATATAATATTTAACATGGAGATCGTGAATATGATAAAATAAAATAAAATTGAAAACTATAAATAATAATTATATTAAAAAAATATTTGGACTGTTAGTTACACTTGTTTTTAGATGAACCACCTATTTACGTCCATCTTTAAGATATATTTCTGGACTGCATATTGTAGAAATGCAATCGAGCCCGCATCAAACAATTTTCCTTTACAATATTATTGAGAAAAGAAAAAAAGTTCATGATCCTAAGGTGGCAACGGATCCGACCATAATCGAGACCTGACAACTAGATTTAAGAACCGAGAGGTATGGGTATAGGTCCTGATTTTAGACCTAAATACTATTTGGGTCCAAATCCAAGTACAATTGGACTGGATCCGTATGTCACCCCTAGAAACAAAGTTATTAAAACCGGACCCGATGCACTCTCTAACTGGTAGAGCGAGCTTCCGAAACCTTATCCGATCCGATACAAGTACCAAATAAGAATTCAGATAAAACCGGTCAAAAAAGGCATTTGACCGGCCCTTTCACCCCTTCAAGCACCACTCCGATCCAGATAACACTTTGTGTGAACTGAGAAGCTTTTGTGACTCTTTTTGGTGGGTTTCACCGAAATTTTGGGGAAAGGTTATGCCGAAATATTAAGGGTGATTTGGGTACCATGATTCTTAGTGAAATATCAAGGAATTGTGATTTGGACTTGTTGTCGTCGTGGCGCCCTTGTCGGGTGCCGGGCATTTGATAACATTGTGACTTTTATCCCGAATGTCGGAATTCGGTCAGACCCATGTGACCCAGCACGGCAAAAATCCGCTCATTTTTTACTCCAAAAGGACAAGGAAATTTCGTAAAATACAAGGTAAAGTAGATCAAATATATTGATAGAATTTATTTGTATTTTTTATTTTTTTTAAATTAAAACATAGTGAATTGATGAGTTTTGTTATGACCATTAATGTTATAGATAGGTTTAGGTTTGGGTCATGGCTTAAGCTCGTAATTATTAATTGTGAGTCCGCTCCTACTACATTGATCTTTGAAACTTAAAATCTTTTTCACAATAGTCACGAAACATATTTCGCATTTGCTTTGTCCCTTACGAAATATTGGACAGAGCATGATAAAAGTAGGCAAAAAGTGGACACCAGAAGACTGATCGCAAAGCGGGCCGGGTCAATGTGGGCCAGGTGGGTTACTGGGAACTGCATATTGGGTGACCCGGTTTTGGCCTATTTTTGGTGGTTAGGCTAGGGATTTATAAAATAAAAAATATTAAAAATCCAAAAAATAGGAAATTAATTAGCAATATATTTTCTAATATTTTTTCAAAGGTTGGAAAGTAATTTGGCCATGAATACTAACTCTTATATATATTTCTTTTTTTTTAAATACTTGTAGTCACAAATCGATTTTTCAAAATGTATTTTTTAAATACTATTTAACCTCATTTACATAATTTTCATATTTTTTAGGACTTTTTTTAACAATTTTTTGGCCTAGCCGAGACCTACCTGGCCAGGGCCGGGTTCCGTTCCCGGTTCCTGTTTTCCTACACTATACGAGAATAACTCGATTTGAAAAGCAAGAAGGTTGCGTCCTCTATAAGCAAGCCATAATAAAAGTCCATTCACCACTTTTAGAGCAAACATAGAACCAATTTTTCCCTAAAAATGGTGAAACATATTTGATAGTTTAATGATGCCAATAGCTATGGTGTTGTCTTTTCGCTTTGCATTGTTAGGTGGTTAAGGGGATATCTTTTTGGTGGCAAACTTTGAATATCTTACCTTATTCAAACAAAAGGCCACGGCACTACACCATATCTAAGTCCAATACCTGTCCCAAAATGTCCAAAGGCCTTGTTCTTAGCCAACCAGTCTAAAAGTAAGTGTCTAATGTTGCATTTATGACAAGAAAAACCACATGCTACATTGATTTTACAAATACATTGTTATTTTTTTTAGAAAAATGAATTGGTGATCCGGATCAGCAATCCAGTCTACCAAACCAATATTTAAAATAAAAAAAAATAGAGTCGGTTATCCGACAGAACTAACTCACTCCCAATATTGAACCGGTTGATTCTTAATATTTAGTGGGAACTGATTCAGCCCCCATGATTCTTTATCCAAATCAGCATATTTAGTGGGAACTAATTTAGCCCCTATGATTCCTGATCCCGATCAACCTCTTTCAATCTAAATCGACGTTTTACTAAACATTGCTCATAAATCGCACAATGAAGTACACTATTGACCTGAGTGTGAAGTCTATAAAAATGCAGTCAAATGTATGCATACATATGCATACGACTTTTGTACCTTAGGAAAAAAGGGCACTCTAGTCTCTAATGGTGACCTCGTGAAGTACACTATGATCACGGGAGCATAATGCAGCAACACTTCCTAGTGAACATCCACAATTGCTACAGCTTTAGTTCATTAGTCTCACAGCGCCAATAGACGGCGGATGCTCAATTGGACGCATTGTGATAGCATGCTCCACCTCATTACATTTGGCTAACTAAAGATGTTGATATGCATTTTTCGGTTGGAAAGAGACATTCATTTTTAGTACAAAAAGGTCATAATCACTCTTGTCCATCAGATTTTAAATCGGGTGATTGTAAGTGCGCGATTCACTAAACTCAAAGTTCAAACAAGTGACCACGAAATAACCCAATCTGACCCGAGAATAGGTTATCCCATTCTGGTTATGTATGTACATAGAAAAACGACCGAATCTAGAAGAGAAACAACAGTTCCACACGGTAAAACGGTGATCCAAACAATCGATTCTCGATCCAGACTATTATTTATTGCCGGTTCACCATTTTTTTTCATGTTTTTTAGCCCGTTCACTATTATTTCCACGTATTTTTTTTACTGCCGACTCACTGATGCATACTGATTTTTTGGGTGCTCAATTCATGTGACGATCCGTTTTTTAAATTTATTTATTACAAAAAGAATCGATCTGGCTAAACCAGAGAGAGCCAAGAATGGGCACTTTAGTCATTTCTGAAATTTGGGCCATGTTAGGTAGAGAAGGCGACATCTCATCATTTCATTTGAAGTTTCTTCACCGTTGCATTCACCAAGACAAAGGAGGGCATTTTGGACACTAACGAAAAAAATGTGGGAGATGGAGCACTGGAAAAGCTGAGGAATTTTATTTACTTATATTATTTTTATTTGAAAACCCATTTTTGCATCATGTTGCACCTTCGTAAAAAGCAAACCACTGCTTAATGTTTGGAACTTACTGCAAGGGACATAATCGCCATATGCAAAGAAGATGAGTTATTTTTGAGATTCCAAAAAAGGCTTGAGACGTCCAATCATCTTTACAGCCCTAATGAGAATTTCGAGCCTTGAGCCAAATACGGACTTACCATTTTATACAAAGTCGAGGACGTCTTTGCCCTTTTTGATAAAAAAGCCAGTGCTCAGTACGCACAGGTAAAAGTACGTTTTGAACCAGTACTTTTTGCAGTAATGTTGAGAAATATGATTTTAATGCTTAAATGTTTTGTTACGGTCATAAATTATATTTTTATCTTTAACTATCAAATTTAAAGCTTCGATAATAGTGTCGATCGAGTAATACGTTACAACTAATGGTTTAAAAAACGGTTCGATGATTCGGATCAGGTTTTAAAAAATCGATCTGGATAGGCAAATCGACGATCGGGATCAGGAATCGGGTGAATTGGTCAGAATAAAGCTTAAAAAAAATTCGAAAAAATTATTAAAATTCATTATAAATATTGTTTTTTAAGAATTCAATAAGAAATGAGTGTACTCCATTAAGAATTTTCATGTTTTTGAATGAATATGCGAATATTTATATGTTCTTTCCCTGCATGAACTGTCATTCAGCATTTAATTTACATCACACAAAAGGATGAACATATAATTATCATGGAATAAGTATATCAACATACATGGATTACAATAAAGCATAGAATTAGTAACATATGATCTAAAAATAAAATGATAGACGACGTTATTATTCTTCTTGGTCACGCTGGTGTCATTGATTGAATTCGTTTAACAATTCATTGATTCGATCTAAAAACGAATCATCGATATTAGTAGGCGTCTGACTATTTCCAGATCCCTGAGTGTTAGTGTTTTGTTGTGTTTTCAATCTAAAATCCCCGAAGATTGTCCATCCTTCATGCTCACCTGCACTGTCGTGCTCATCCCTACATTGTTGCTGTTGGGACTCGATATGTGAATAACATGGCTGGGATAGGGTGGCCTCTCATTTTCTCTTTGAATAATATGGATTAAAAAAAAAAAAACAAATTTTTAAAAAAATCGATCTTGGATTAAAAAAAAAAAAATCACAAATTTTCAAAAAATTCTATCATGGATTACAAAAAAAAAATCACAAATTTTCAAAAAATTCTATCATGGATTACAAAAAAAAATCACAAATTTTCAAAAAAATTCTA